GATACTTCATTAGTTCATTCAGTAGTACCTATTTTGCTTTCAGAACTGTCTTAATTCAACATGACAAAGATTCAGTACAGTGCAGGAAGTGTTCTTTCGAGATGATGGAATGGAGCCCACCACATGCTCTATTGAAGCACTATCTGATGACTCTGCATTACAGTGAACTCACTGTCATGTTCCAGAAATCACTTTAAGATGATCTGACCTTTGAGACATGGTGCATAATGCTGCCTGAATCAAGCATCAAAACATAGGTACACTGAAGTTTATGAAGGCACACAGTCAGAATGTCCACCCCTTTATGACAATTAAAGGATGCTCAGGGTTGTTTAAACACCCGGTACTACAATGGTCCAAAGTGTCAGATTGTGCCATAGATTTGAAAGGCAACAGCCTCAGACTCTAAAGCAGGACTCAAGATCATCAAACTTTATAGTTCAAAGGGAATCACGATGAGGGAAATTGTTAGATATCTTGAGAGGGCAAGTAAAAGAATTAGTCCAGTCCAAGTTTGGTGTCCACAATTCCTTACTGGTGCAGATTACTTGGAAGGATTTTAATGGTGGATTGATGGAGAGTAGACAGGCAGGTGATTCAGAGGTGACTCACCTGCCAATTGGTCAGAAAAAGTGAGGCCGCCTTGTACAAAGAAAACAGTATTGTTGTAAAACCTCTGGGAAACCATACCATTGCACTGACTGGTTTGCAAGAAGCTGTCTTCAAATTGAGAGCTGATGAGTTCGATTGCATCTCTTGGTGGATTTTTCCACAAGATTCATACTCTTCCAGAAGTGGAGGATTTTAGTTTGCATTATTTTCTTCTAATTGATAAAAGGATAATAATAAATTATTTGCATACAAAAATGGTTGTTTGCTGGAAAGTGTAGTAAGAGTATCTTTGCAGCACATTAAAAGGACTTCAAACAGATGTTGATGTAAGTAACGGCAATTGCTAAAAACGTTTCTAAAAAGATTAAGAAGGTAATATTGTTGTTAGTGCATGCTCATTGCATACAACAATGAAAAACATGAAATAATGACCTATCCATCCATACGTTTTCTTCCGCTTATCCAATTCAGGGTTGCAGGAAGGTTGGAGTATATTCTAGATGTTACAGGATGAGAGGCTGGGCACACCTGGGATAACACAAAGAGACAGAGAACTGCACCTACAGTCAGTTTAAAAACTCCATTTAACCTACAGTAACACATCCAGTTGGGGAAAAATATACAGACTGCACACAAAGTGGTCCCAGACTGGATCTGAACACAGAACTTCCATGCTGTGAGGTGGCGGTGCCAACCGCTGCACCACCGTGCCATCAGGAAGGCTGAAGCTCTGTGATTATTTGTAAAGATATACCTTAAAAAAGACAGTGCCAAGCTTAAAATGAAATAACATAATAACACATGGAAGGAGACCACAAAGTGTGATGCACCTGTTATTTATCAAAAAACCAAACAAACCAAAAACCTTCCCTGCTCATTATTTCTGTCCATCTAACAAATAAAGAGCTGGTTTTGTACTCAGTAGCAGTGACTTCATTAGCTTCTTTCTAAACAAATGTTACCTTTTGGAGAATTACAATCGCAGTCATCGCTGATGCATCATGTACAGCATCTTTAGAAAGAACTGAATTATATTTAGGCTTCTCACTTGTAAAGCTGTCTGAGAGAGCATAAGCCTGTTTAATATGAGCAAAAAATATGTGTTTTAGACCTTCACAAAGTACCCTCATTTATATTCTAGCGCTCCTTAAATACATTTCAGGAGGACTCTTGCTGTAATTTAACCTCTAGTCTCAATTCAGGTGTTCAAGCAGTGGGCTTGTCTTGTTCTTCTATATCTTATTGCTGGATTAGACATGACTGATATTAAGCAGCTTTATCCTAACCTGACAAATTGTATTCCTTTCCTAAGACTCTAATAGACAAAGTCAGTTGTATAATTTTTCTTTAATGGGGATATCAGTTTAAGTGCATAATGAGAAATGCCACTCTCACTAAAACAAATCTCAAAATAAAAGACTAAAAGAATAAAATCCTACTAATTATGAACTGCAGTGTATCCCTGTGATCCACTCTGTGATTCCACATGTCTGATTTTCACCTTTTGCATGAAGTCTGAGTTGGAGCTCATGAATGTTGAACAAGGATTGTGTTAACTGAAACTGCTGCAATACAAAAAAGAGAAAGCTTCAGAACCAGCTGAGTTTAAACACCAGCTGGCTACTGCATTTGCATATACAATCATGACTCATTACCTATGACATTTGGTTCCTTGCTCCCACACATCACGCACATTACACACATCACACTACGAGTTTTTTGGGTGTTTTCATCACTTTATGTATGCATCACACATGGGCACACGGCAAAACGAAGAAACTTCTGATTTACATAGCACTCATGCATTTCTGGAGGTGACACAGCAATTGTTGCACAGGATAGAAAACTGATTGGCTGGTCAGGGGTCACGTTTGCCTTGAGTTGACAGCGATGACCTTGATGCTAATATTATCTTCTCTTCATCTTCCTCGTCTCTCTGCTTCCTCTTCTCCAGTGGAAAGAGGTTTCTCTCTGCCATTATGCTTAAACCTTTAAACCTTTCCTTCTTGATGAAACGTGACCCTAAACCATCTGTTAGCTATGCTGCTTTGTATCCAGATGTTCAAGGAGTGCAGCGAGCGCCTCTCATCTCCTCCATGCCACTCACTTCTTCTACTACTGTGTTAACTCTGCCATGTTAGTCCAATAATTTATACTTTCCACTCGCTGTCATCTTTTTCTCTGTACCCGGTGAACTTTATTATTATCATTATTATTTGGGAATCTATAATCTTTAATTTTGGAATTTCTGGAATCTTTTGATGATATTATGAACTGCAGATGATGAGATATTCAAAGTCTTTCCAATTTTATGTTGAAGTCCATTAATTGTTCCACAGTTTGTTGACAGTTTTTTGCAGATTGGTGAAAATCTCACAGGAATCTTTGTCTCTCAGAGACTCTTTTTATACTCAGTCCTGACCTGTTGCCAGTTACTCTAAGCCACAATACTTTTACTTTTCCAGCCTTTTGCTGCCTCAGTCCCAGCTTCTTTTTTTGCAACGTACTCCTCTTTTCAGATTCAAAATGTGCTCATATTATTTGTTACAGTGGTTACATTTTCTTATTATAAACATTTCATTTTAATTTGTTTTGTTTGCTCTGGACTTCGGGTCTGGTCTGTCTCTGTCTTGTGTCCGTGTCCTGTCCTCTGTGTCTCTGTGTTTGTGTACCTTCGGTATCTGCAGTCATGTCCCTGTGTCTGTCTGGTCTCTGCTCTGTCTCCATGACTGTCCGCATTCCCTGACTTATCAAGTTAACACATCTGTAGTTTCTGCCTTCTAGTTCCCTGGTTCTACCAGTGTTTTGTGTTTTTGTCTCCCCAGTCTGTCATGTCTCCATGTGTGTTTAGTCCCAGTATCAAGTTCATGTCTTAGTCCAAGTCTCAGTGTGTGTGTTACTTCCTGTTCTCCCGTCTAATTATTTATGATTCAGTTCAGCTGTGTTCCCATGCGTCTCCACATCCCTTAATCATGTATTGTCTGCATCTCCCTCTGCTTGTTGTTGTGTTTTGTCTCTTTGTGTGTGGGGTCTGTCAGTAGTTTTTGGCAGTCAGTTCCTATCCTGCCCAGTAACTGTTTGCTGTTGTCTTCTCTGCTGTTTTTGCCGACATAAATAAAGCTGAGATTTTGAGTCCTGGGATTTTGACCCACTCCCTGCTCGCTACAGACATGTGTAAGGTTTTGACCTTACTATGTGCACTAAGTCCCTTGAGATGACAAAAAAATTCAGAACTGATTTGAATTGCTTTAGTTACTGGACCCAGGATGATTGCAGGATGTCAATAGAGGCAGAAATTGCCATATAATAGGCCTAGACTTCATCTATGAATGTGACCTGCACAACCCTGCGTGATTTCCAGAGTATTTCAGTTTTATTTTCAGAAAGTAATTGCTGAGATTTGTTCTTTGATGTACACTTTGGGGTTCTCAAAATGTTGGTTATAAAGTCCTCGTGAACAGCCTTCTTTACACTGTGTAAGCTTTTTGTCAGAAGGTAATCCTATTAACTTTCATTTTTCATAATGTTCAAGGGTGCTCAGCATGTTCTTATGCTTGACTTTCAAAACCACCAGAAACTGTCACGACCTCTGCGCTGTTTGCTGCTGCATGATCGAGTGTGCTCCTATACGCTGACAATCCAACATTGTGTCTCTCAGACAGAACCTGACGTCCACAGTGGCTCAAAGCACACGCTCTAGTACATTTTAACTCACACACATCTGTTAATGTTTCTGACTTAGTGACACTGCAGAAACATACTTCCTTTTTTCTGGGTCAGCGTGACAAAGCACCCTCATATGGAAAAAGAATAGAGAAGACGGACCTGAACCATGTTTAGCAGCTCTGAGTTGAATATTAAAATGATCTTTGCCTGACTTTGGCTTGTTAAAGCTGTTGTGGCTGAGTGGAAGTTGAGTCTTGTTGACCCTGCAGCTTATGTTACATTTGAGACTTTTGCTTTTCTGATTTGTCTAATTTATGTTACCTTGAATTTACTGGTTAGTTTTATCCACCAAAAACTTTTTGGTTAGGTTCATGAAAAGTGGTTGGAATTTAAATATCTCAAAAGTGCATGAAAATGTCTTTTAAACCATCCAAACATGACAAGTGAGAAATGAGATCCATCACTGATGTCAGAACCTGACAGTCTGCAAAAGACGAAGCCTCTCCAATGATGCCTGCGTGTGTTTGGCTGCGATCTGCTTGGTGATAGACTCTCATCTATTTTGCAGTGTCTGTGGATACTGTGTGAACAAACCAGTTTCAGTAAGCTCGACCTGCAAGGACAGCGGGTTTTAGAGAAATCAAAGCTGTTTGGGGGATATTAAATGAATAACAGTGGTTATTAGACACAAACACATGAATCACACATATGAATGCATTTTTCTCTTTATTTTAAAGCTGAAACATTGATTGTATGATTACCAGACACATACAAACTATATACTTACAATATATGTATGAGATACTCATATAGTTCTTATGTTTTTGGCAACCTGAGTATCATCGTTGCAAAAAAAAAAAAAAACACCACTGAGTCCAACATGCTCTAAATATCTTATTTATCTCAACAAATAATGTATTTCTGTGTGTTATGATAAGCTATTACACATATTCACAAAACAGTGCAGCATGCTCTCGCCAAGAGGGAAAAAAGGATAGGAGAGAACACCGTGGAATAAAAGTACAGTACGTCCTTAGAGGTTTACGTATTTGTCAGACATCTGAAAAATGTTGGCACCAGGAGAAGTGCTTAAGATATTTCTGCTGTTATTTTGGGCCAAGCCACATCCGCCGCTCACGTCGGACTCCTGGGTGTCTTTTGCATGTTTACGTTTGATGCCAAAAAGGCTGTAGATTTTCATCAGCATCAGGTCGACAATCTCCTCCTCTTCAGAAGGCTGGGTAAGGAAGCACAGATTCAAAATCCATAATAAAATACTGCAGATGGCGAGAGCTCTTTTGACCATTTGCACATATTTGTGCAAGTTTGAAATACGAATCCTAAAATGTGGGTGCACAGTTCAACTCCTACGGTTACTTTTTAACAATAAAACCGCTGTGCTTCCTCACTTACATCAATGTTTTCCCTTTGTAAAAGCATATATTTGAAAAATAGAAATAAATAAATAAACCATGCTGGAACTGAACTGTTGCTGTGACTCCTGTTTAGGAGTCCCACTCAGCGACTTAGAAAACCATTAAAAGTTAACAGAATGGACACTGTCTGAATGCAGAACGCTTTAATTAACACTGAGAATTACACCTCAGGTCGAAACCGAACTGGCAGAAACAGCCTGCTGGCCTGGAGGCAATTTTTGGTCAGTTTGATTCTGCAGAATATTTTTAACCTGGAATCCTTAGTGAAAGATTGGATTGCATTCTCTTAGCTGTCTCAGTTAAACTGTGCAAACAAGTATCACTGACTACTGAATTATGTAATGTCTCTTAATTGCCACCAGTGAAATAGATCATTAAAAGCTTTCACAACCCTCCAAAGTGCCCTGAGTTAATCTGAATAATTGCAGTTATGCAACATTGCACTTAAAAAAAGAACATGTCGGGTTCAATAGTGGACAGTGGTTGCATACAATTGTTTTGCTTTGGCAGAAACTTAAACAACTAAATTACAGCAACACAACTTATTCATATTCAATAAACCTGTGCATTTTGTGTCGATAAAACATGATTGAAACATGTTTAGATGAAGTAAGATGAGGTCTTGGAATATTTTAATCCTTCACATTTTTGTCACTTTATTCCAACACTATTCATTAACTTTTATCCTAATACTACTTGGTCACTTAAATACTACATGTTGTATGTTCAATGTTCAACAAAGTCTAGAGCAGGGGTCTCGAACTCCAGGCCTCGAGGGCCGGTGTCCTGCAGATTTTAGATCTCACCCTGGGTCAACACACCTGATTCAAATGATTAGTTCATTACCAGGCCTCTGGAGAACTTCAAGACATGTTGAGGAGGCAATTTAGCCTTTAAATCAGCTGTGTTGGATCAAGGACATATCTAAAACCTGCAGGTTTTAGATGTGTCCTGGAGTTCGAGACCCCTGGTCTAGAGTCTGGTTAACATAAGACGTGAAGGGATTTACAACAACTTCCACCCTTCTATCTTTATCTGGGCTGCAGGGGCATAACCGAGAAGTGATAGGGTAAGAGGAGGGTACACTCTGGACAGCTCACCAGTCTATCCTATAGAGACAAACAACCATTTGCACTCACATTCACACTTATGGGTAACTGTGGGAGGAAACCAGAGTGCTCAGAAGGAACCCACTGCAAACTAGCCAGATTGTGGATTTGAACCCATGACTTTCTTGCTATGAGGCCACAGCACTAACCACCACGCCACCAATCAAGGTTTAGCAAAAGTAGGAAAGCTATGATTTCAAGGCTTGATGCAGAATTTTCTGTACCTTTTTATCCTTGACAGGTTAAACCACAATAATTAGCAATAGCACACATGGTGTGTTTATAGTTGTCTGCCTCTTATAACTCCAACGATTTTCCTGCAGTTTGAAATCTCATGTGATCTTGTGACTTTCGTGACAAGTGAGAAACTCTTACTAGATCCTATCGTGTCATCTCAACAAGAACAAATTAAGCTGTTGAACTTCATGCAGATCCTACATGATTTAATTACGTTCACCATAGAAACATGAAATTATTTTCTTCAAATTACAAGTTAGACTTTTGTAAATGTAACAACCACTCAATTGCATTTTTTTCAGTGCATTTAAGCAGAAGCTGCAGAGTTCACAGTCTTTCCTGAATAAGAAGTCAGTACTCTTCCTGAGATAAATACACATTTCTATCAAAAAGGACAGGAAGCAGACAACATGAACGATGGTGGAAATAATAAAATTCACTCTTGCACTCACAGATTATGGGATACTTTGATGTCATTACCCAAAGCTACTGGCTGCTGCTCTCGACTTCTGTGTAAAGACTAAGTTGTGTTTTCGGGAACCACATGGGCTGTCTTACTCACAAAGTGACAACTTTAGAAATGTAATCTTAGCGTTTTCAGATAGCGAGCCAGACGGTTCCTGCCTGACAATATCAGCATTATCTCCAATCCCACTCTGCTTTTACACAACTGACACCCATAAAAATGGAAGCAACACAGCCAAGTGTTAGGAATTTGTGGCTGTTCCAGTTTGGTTTCATGACTTTAGTGTTTTATATTTTGAGTTTGACTTTTAATTCCTCAACCTTTCAGTTTGCGAGTTACAGCGCGGTTTGTATTTCATTTACTGTTAAAAACTCACACACAGAGACTTCTGATTGGATAATAAGGAAGTCTGCTTCTTGTCCACTCAAAACCTGAATGTAATGATTCTGTGAGGTGCACTCATCTGGCTTTTAAACTTAAATTTCAGTGAAGTTTGCCCATGTGCTTAGGAGGTGCATGACTGGGTAAAATTTTGTTGCATTTAGATTTTTAAAGAAATGGGAGATGGTTGCTGCCTGTGGCCTGGAAACAGCTGCAGTAAAATGTGGATACTTGCAAAGTAAACTTAAGAAATCACACAACAGGAAAAAAAGTGTGAAGAACAGACTGACAGTGTCAAACCTGCAGCTTTTTGTAGGACATGTCATCTTTTCTCTGGGCACACTTTACACTGGGAACCAGAGTTTATTGAAAATAAGCAAATGTTACTTCTTTTTCTTCTTTTGGCACCTCAGCCTATCGCTTCTATGCTCTTGTGACACATCAACCCTCTGAACATCCTCCTTCACATCTATGGGCCTATTTTTCAGGTGTTCCTCATGGCAGCTCCTTGCTGCTCTGATTTAGTCTGAACCAAAGTTC